CATTTTTAAACACATCATGCCCGATAGAAGTTTGGCGATGGTTGCAGTACTATATCTCTGGTGCCACAGGCACTATTCTAAGCATAAGTGAACAGATTTTCTGGGATAGAAAGTGTTAGGAATGCACGTAAACACGTCGTTTGATATGCCTGAACGATTGCGAGTTTATCTTGGTCAGCAACGAGAGCGAGGATTAAGATCTGGCGACACGGCACGCTACTCTAATCCGAGTGTTCCAACCCCCGATTTAGTAAAAGAAGAAGACTTGATATGAAATAGAACCTGTATTCTAAAAACATCCAGGAAGTACGAGTTCCGAGTCTAGAAGAGGCTAAGGATCCCGCACTAAGGATCCGGGTCCGGGTCCGGGCACTGTGGTTACTTTGATGCCCATATAGAACAAACATAATTTTCTTGTGGAAATTCATTTGTAAAAATGCATTAGTGAATTGCATAGCGTCCACTGCAGTACATGCGATTTGTTGATAAGCATTATTTGTAACTAACGTCGATGATGTACAGAAGACTATCTAAAGGTCATGAGCCTGTCGTCTAGCGTATAAGTGGTTTAACCTGATGAGTGGTTCACCTGCGGCTCTGACATTTCACTGGCTCACCAAACAATTTACTTGGTTTAGATCTAGAGGGAAGAAAACAAGTATTGTGCCTGTCCATAACCGCGGCTTGCTCCCTACTAACAACGTAGATTCAAACGTAAAAGTGGCTTTTCGTTCCTGCCTAGTAAAACTTGATGTCTACAATGGTAACTTGACATACGCAGAAGTTTAAGTGACTAGAACAAGGACGTCCCTCTTTTTCCGAAACAGTATTAAGAGCTAAGAATGTATATTCTTAAAGTATGGCATTTGAAACTCCTGAAGAAATTTGAATGGTAATTGAAAAACGGTACGTCCCCTAGGTTATTCTAATTCGTCCTCTCTACTGTATATTGAAAACCTCCCTAATTCTAGGTATTCCTCTGTAATATATTTTAATCTTTTGTGACCTTATCCATTGAGAGAAAACCATCGCAACTTGGAAATAAGGGCTCAGTGGAGCATTTACGTCAATTTGTCATGAGCTTCTATGTCATGAAACACACCATAAAATGGACTCGATCTCTGCAGATACTCTGGAGAAGATTCAGGAATGGATGAACAGGAAGGTAGCAGTTAAATCCTGTCGAACGGAAGCAGAGGAAGTCAAGTCATAAGCTGAATATTCAAAAGGAATTGAAGAGGGCTATTACGAATGATTAAGGAATGTGGAAGATCTTGCAGCCACAATGTGATTCGTTGCAACAGAAGGAAACACGAGACAGCTGAACAATACAATGAAGAAGCCTCCTGAAAAATATGATTAACTAGAACTACCAATGAAACTCAAGTAAGGTAAACCAATCGCTAAATTTGAGGGACAGTAAAATAGGCGGGTAGGGCACTTCGAAAAACTTTCGAAACGACCAGTCCCACGGAATAAAAGTCCTATTAGACATACACGTTTGAGATTCCGTAAAGATAGAAGATGTACCAACAAATGCACGACAATAAGAATGATTGTGAAACAAACAAATGAATAAAACTCATCAATATACATGAATTCGAATACGAGAAAGCCTTTTACGGCGTGGACAGGATGAAACTTCGGTGTCAGATAGGGCTACCTACGCTCAACCCTTCTCCTTCTTCTGGTGATTGAGTAGACTATGGAGACATCAAGATCTGAGAGGATGTAAGAGATACTGTGGATAGGTAAGATGCAGCTAGGTGATTTGCCTTCCTCAAATGAAGACGGCTAGGGTATTCACAGCATCTTCAGAAGTAGGCCTCATTATACACAAATAATAAAGCAGGATCCTCTGATACAACACATCATGCACCAACCAAATCACACTTACGGAACAACTTTAGAACATGTACAAACCTTTGCATACCTGATGAGCATCGTTAATAAACAAGATGAATCTGGCGCAGATATGAAGATACAGATCGGAGAAGCAAGTGCAGTATTTCTACAGTTGAAGAATATCTCCGACCCAAAACAACTTTTACCTAGCAACAAACATCACAATTTTCAATACGAACGTCGAGATAATTCTTCTGAATGGAGCTGAAACTTGGAGAACTACCACATCCAAGAAAGGATAATGTAAGTGGGAATTCTGACAGATGATCTTTTCCTTTTCGCTCATCAGGCACAATAGGACATTTTGTACAAAATTAGAGTTTTACCTCACCTCATCACATACGATCATTTCATATTATGGATTAAACTGCTACATGGGGGTATTTGTCTGTTACATTTCTCAATGAACTCATTGACAGCGAAGACAGCAAATAATCGAGAACTTCAGCAGATTAATCTACTCACATACAATTATAAACTTCAGTATTCAATATCGAAGATTTCAAGCCGGGTAAAATGTGCTCATCTTTACAGATTGTTCAGCAATGAAGATCCACTTTCCCTTGAAAGTATTCGCCGATTATGCTGGTGCCACTTCTTCGACCAAGACATACTACTTCAAGTGGTAGTTCGATCGCGGTTTTGAATTTTCTTGCAGTGGCCTCGGAGACTATTTATGCAGGGGAAAAAAAGTTAGGGTGTTTTAACAATAAAATTTTTATTTAAGAAACTGAATGATGAAACAAGATCTCTCCCTGTTCTGTAGTAAAATAAGAGGAAAAGTTTTGAGCGATTTGAGCGCTCATCGTAAGGACGTTTTGAAAGATCTGTCACTTACTTGCTTCCGACACTACATTGTCTTAACATCTTTAGTCAGGCATGGACCATTCGGTTGCACGTAATACTCTACATGTGGTCTGAAATAAATGCAGTATGAAATCTAAAAAATATCCTCGTAAAAGTACTTCACTTCTCGGCGAAGTGACCTTAACACTCAAGAACTTCTAACAGATGGTGCATTATAATGTGCTGTTCTTTCGAGGCATAAATTATTGTCATTCTTTAGTCTTTTCGTTCCTTCACGCTTGGAAGCGGTCTACAGTTGATGGTTTTAGTGGTAGATCTTCTCATGTCCGGTTTGTTTCCTGAGCCAATTTCTGTCTCACCCTCAGGACCATCTAACTATCTCTTCTAAGCCAGTTTTTAGATCAAGATGATCAGCCTCACTAATTATTGCTTCTGTAAACACCACTGGTGAGAAACCTTGATAAAATCTGTGAATACCACATCAACATGGGCCGTTGTTCATTGCTCTCTCCCAATTAGTATGTTAGTTAAGCGTGGGTGCAGATTTCGGAACCCTGTTGCTCAAGAGTTAACAGAATGTTTCAGTCAACATGAATTCGTAACTTAGTCCGAACTTTGTTTTCAATTGACTCAGCTTCGCTGCTGGTTGGACGGACAGCCCGGTAGTTAGGCTCGATTTGTCTCGACGCATTTAACGGATACCGATGACATCATCACTGTGGTAAGCGAAAACAAAGTTCAGTTCCAAATGATGTTTCAAGTCAATTCGTGAAGGTTTCTTAATACATTGTACTGGTATGCACTAAATGATTATTGACAGAAGGCTAATATCCGTAGGCTCCACCGAATTGAGTGTAAAAATCTCCAACTCAGGTAGGCCTCAAAATCGTTGGTTTCCAGTATCTAACTACTCTAAAACCCTATAGGCCTTGATGTGTCTGTCGAGTTTTTAACACTCTTCCATTCAAATCCATCGTCAGGTGACTGGTCGAGTTTGTTTCCAATATTCGAATTACGAAGTTTGTGCCTCAGCTAGTATATTACCTTCTTTCCTTGATTGGGTGTCATCTCAAACTCACTTACTGAGTCTTATTACTTTGACACTGTGTACTCCTAAAACCCCTTCTGGTTGTCGATTTCTGATAGCAGATTCCACCAACCCTATGTATGAAGTTTAGCAGTTACTATCTTTTGATTGCTTCAAATTCCAAATACGTAAACTGAGAACAGATTATCCAATTTTAAAGTCGTGCTTACGACTTTTTATTGGGTTCCCGTCTCATTTCAAATGAATACAGCATGTTCCCCTCTAATTTTCCACATGGTTTTTACTGAATTTTTCTTGTGGTAGAGTTTTATTCTCTGAACATCCCACACTCGCCTTCACCTCATTAACAATGCTAAGAGTTAATGCAGTATCGATGAATGGTGGTCTCTTTGCCTGGAGAGTATTACTTATTACGATTACGTGTGAAAACCGAATGAACATGATATGCTTACCAGTTAATTATTTCTAAATGACCAAGACTAAGAGATGAGCTACCAGCATCAGTGACTACACTTGTTGCGTCTTTATCGTCTGGTGTAAGGACAAGCTGAATGGACACTATCAGTCAGTAGCTTTATCACAGTGAGAAACTAGCTTTGTTTGAGCAACATTCACTACGTAACCAAGGTAAAGGTTTGCGAATATGGTACATATTTCCTGAAATAATCTTTCTTGTCACTGATGCTTAAAGCGGAAAATCATCAAAAGATTAGAGAACCTAATTCATGAAAGTGACAATGGGAAAACGGTGTACATATACACATAGATTACGCATCAATTAAAATGCTTAAACTAGTGAAAGCTAGAATACAAAGTACATCAAAAAGGTACCTCATGAACCAGAATAGTACTAAAAACTTCAAGTATGGGTTGAAACCCAACTTCTGTTGCGATTAAAGCAAAAAGAATCTGATATCTAAATATGTAGAAAAATTCACTTCCGTTTTTCAAATCACGTGAGAGGTGTGAGAAAAAAGCAAAAGATATTGCTTCTCTTTTGCGAAAACGAAAATGATTAAATATGAGTGTTACCACGGCGTAAAAAATCCAAGTAAACGTTTCAAAACTTTCGAATAAATGTTGTTTCTGTAATGCGTGGTAGTTCTCAAACGACGCTACTACGCATCAAACACTTTTTTCCGTTGTAAACACCGTCACTGTTTCATGTTTCGATTATGTAGTCCTCCTCAAAATTTAAAATGTGAAGCTCTAGAAAAGTTATGAATGACAAATATTGGAGTTTGAATTGTCCTGGGCTCAACAAACTCACGGGCGGTGACTTCAGGATTGTCGCTAGATGTTTCCAGCATCGCCGATCAGTTACTTTTTTTAAGAAATGACTGGAATTTCGGACTTCCTTCCAATGATTTCATAGTCAATGCCTTGGAAACCGTCACAGTATAGTGTTTTGGGCGTTTCTGCTCTTTAACTTCCACTAAAATCACTTATATATTGCCCATTTTTCGACGTGTTAAAATACCTCATATCATGGAAACCCTGCCAAAAAGACAAAGCATGAGATCTGACGGACGGACACTCACAGATGAAGGTATGTTCACCCGGATCGCAGTTAAGATAGTATAGCCCTATTTAAAACCTTCCCGTGAAAATGATTCCTAAATTATTCTAATCTCACTCGGTAAAGGTTATCAAATGTTTGTAGTTAATAACTCTGAAGTCACTTATTTTTGTCTCTTCAATATCTTAGTCTCATATGCAGCTTGTTTACAGAGGGAGGAGTCCATAGGTAAAGGGAATATTTTTAGTTTATATATAGCTGGTATGCACAACACCATTATTGTCTACACAAACGGTATTTTTACTTATCTGAGAAATTTGGTGTGTACCTGTACAAGTCAAAACTTTGTTATGGAATGACATTCTGATTTCTAAAAATTTTTTATTCCTTCTGTAAAGTAAGAACGTGGATTAAACGTCCCCCGTCACCGAACCAGAACGTTGCTGTGCTGCAACTGTTAATACCAAGTCTAACAAATCAGAATAACTGAATTTCTCTTTCAATTGAGCATGTTATGCTTGGCACCGGTTACCTCGGTGGTTTGTTTTCATTCTGAACAACCATTTATTTTCCAAAATCTAGGTTGTTACTCACTTGAATTTTCAATTTGTTTTTAAAAATCTTTCAAATGTCTAGTTAATTGGCCACAGAAATTCGGTATCTTACTAAGTCACCCACTCTAGTTAAATAATGATTACCAATGAAAGGCAACGAAAGATGGTTGAATAGTGGTTTTGACGTGGTAAACAATCCTTTATATGTCAGCTCATTGATTATCGTAAGAAAGTGTAAATTTACACATTAGTTGTGCTGGTGTTGCAAACCAGAGTTTTTATGACGAAATATTTGACCCAGATGATAGATTAAATATTGCTAGTGTCAGCAATGAAATCATGAAAACCATATGATATATATGCATATATATAATCGTTTTCACATGTGAAGTGGATTGCTCAGAGTTGTACACAAAAGTAGTATGTGATTATCGAGACCACCGGACGAAAAGTTTCGAATTGTGGAGTTTATTATCACTAGTGACGGTCTAATATGTCCGATTTTGCTGCATTTTGAGCATTCAGCGTAGCAAAAGACACATAAACTACATGAATGGAATTTACCAGATGAAAAGCACTTACCGAGCGTGTGCTCATCTTCTTAAACTGCTTTGCAACCCTACTGGTTCATCTTATCACTTGTCCACGCGAATGGGAACCATTATTAAACAAGCGCAAGGTTGAGCAACTTTCAGAATATAATTTCTCACGACAACCAAGCAAAACACCACAAATTTTTAGTGACTGAAAACGATGCTCGTTCACTGCTTCAAAGTTATGTATATATAGAGCCTTGACTGGTCACTGAATCACATCATATAGTATAACATTCAATAGGCATCATGAGGTATCTCTTGTTTGGTTGCACAGTATGTATTTTTTTCATCAGTTTCGATCACTTTAGAAAGCAGTTATTGCTAAATTTTTTCTTCGTTATTCGCAATATACAAGCTATCTAGAACTGAGCCATTGATTTCGTGCAAAAACAAATCACTTTTGATTATTGGTCCACATAAGGTTGTCACTATATCATATTTCTACAGAGTCTTCTTGTGTGTAAAGATGAAGTCATTTTCGATTACTTTTGGGAATTAATGGTTATAACAATTTCCATACCTTTTATATCAATTTTCATGTGAACATATCTCGATAATAACTTTTAACTTAACCACTCAAATTGTCAGATATTCTCATCTACGTTGTGACAGTTCACCAAAGGCTTTTACTTGGGAATTTCATCACAGTTCGTCGAATTATTACGTACTCAAAAACCCTAATATTTAAACATGAACTTGTTAAAATTTAACTCCGACTTATTCCTTTCCGAAAAAGTATTTGTCGCTTGAGCCAGTCAGTCAGTCAGTTACAACGTAGAACTTCGTGCGTAAGTACATCAGTTCATGCTGATATACCACATTAGTGCAGAGATGCAATTTTCAATTCAAATCCCAGTGGTAGAGATAGTAGAAGAATTACTGCTAATGAAGAAGATTAAGATTTAAAAATAATATTCAATAAGTATAATTCAGTGAGATAAACTTAGAAAGAGAAAAATAGGGTGTTGACAAATCCAGAAGATGAGGATTTGCGAAAACAACGAATGAATGCACCTGCGCCATTCAAACGGTTTGGAGCCATTTCATTCAGGGTCTAACCATCGATTATTGTCTCGCTGACCCCAACGAAGTAGTGTGAATCTACCAACATGACTCAGTCCACCTGTCAGTGATTTCATGGATTTCTGCCATATTTTGGTCTGGCCGCCCCTAGCCTTCGTCTAATCTACTCCTACATTAAAAAAACATAGCTCGTCGCGGCAGTCGTTGGTTGGGCATTCCTAACATACGTCCCAACCACCTCAACTGATGACGTTTCAATATTTCATCTATTGACCTGCCATTCTTACCTGGCACCCTTTTCCTAATAACAGCGTTGCTCACTCGGTTGTCCCACGATATACGAGCAATGCTTCGAAGACACCTATGATCGAAAACCAGTAACCTACGAATATCTACTCTGACTGGTCATGTTTCACAGCCATAAAGTAGGACGGAACGAACTACCGCGCAGTACACACGTCCTTTGGTCAGCAAACGGATATCTCGCTTACGCCATAAGTGACGCAAGTTGGCAAAAGTCAATTGATCCTTCTATATCCGTATCCAGGCTATCAGCACTGATGAGACTCCGCAGATAAGTGAAGCGGTGAACACGCTCATCTACTTCACTCCCTATCACTATATCAGGTATCGATGCGACCCAATCTTGAAGCAACATTTTACATTTCGAAGAGGAACACCGCATCCTGAACATGCTTGCATTGTTGCTGAGGGTGGTCAGAAGACCCCTGCATTTTGTCAGTCTTCAGCGAATAGAATTATGTCATCGGCATATTCTAAGTCAATAAGCGAGCCTCCTGGTAGGTCTACTCCTGAAGAGTCTGACGATGATATTGTTAACTCTAGAAGCATATCTACGACAAAGTTAAACAAAAATTGGTAGAGTGGACATCCCTGATGGACACCACTTGAAGCAACTAATTCCGATGACAGTTCGCCATAAGCTCTAACTCGACCTGTAGTGTTCGAGTAGAGAGCTTATATAAGGTTAATGTACTTGATTGGTACACCTGTGGTGCGAGCTACTTATAAGTAGAATATGACGTGAGTGTCAACGTAATGTCTGGCAGCAGAAAATGGGGGGAAGATCAAGAAAGGAAGGGTTAGAACACAATGGAATTTGTATGAAACGCATGAATAGTGACAATGGATTCATGTTTTGCAACAGGAACAGTCCAGTTCGATATGATGAACTGATATTTTGCAAATTAGTGATTTACGATATGGTTTTCCGATTTTACTGAGTAACTCTGTAATTTTCGTTAAGTATAATACCGTTACCCCACCTGTGTTCTCGTTGACTACACACCTTTCAAAGACAGACACTTCCACAGAACCTCACGATCCACTGAGTCAAATGCCACCTTAAGGTCCAGGAAGACAACTATTGTCGGACGCCTAAATGTGTGTCTGTTCCAGGACCTGTCGCAGTGTGAAGATGTGGTCTATACATCCACGTCCAAGTCTGAAACCAGCCTGGTTTTCTCGAGTCTGCTCTTCACGAGCTCTAGTTAGGCGTCCAAGGATAACTGAGGCTAACAATTTAGGAACTATATTAGTTAGACTTATTCCCCTGTGATTGTCACTAGAGGACTATTTTCCTTCCTTATAAATCGGGACAATCAGTGATTGAGACCAGTCGGATGAGAGTACGTCCAGTTTCCAGATTTCGCCCAAGACCTCAGTTAATCTTGCTGTTAAAACCGGACCACCATCCTTAAACATCTCAGGGGTCAATCTATAAGGTCCTGCTGCTCACCCTCGCTTCAGATTTCCTATCACTTTCTTAACTTCATAAAGACTAGGGCGACTTACGTCGATTTGCCATTCAGGACGACTGGAGATCGTGGTTAACCGAAGTGTGGCTGAAGGCCATTTGAACTGATCCCTGAAATGTTCTGCCCATCGGTCCAGTCTCCTGGATTGAGAATGGATAATAAGACCATCATTTTCCGAGATAGTCTCACTTACACTAGGATTCCTAATACCAGTTTCCTTGATCAGTCTGAATAGTTGCCTACTTTTGCCTGTCGCTACTGCCTTTTCCATCTCTCTTGCTTTCATTACTCACCGCTGTTCGCGGTCGTTGCTTAGGCTTTTTATCAGCCTGCGCCTAAGCTGACTTCGTTCTTCGTCATGTTCAGAGCCAGGTGGGATGAGTTTTCGAGCCTCTATCAGTTCGGTGGATGCTACTGAGATCCACGGCTTCTTCCTAACATTATGGTTTACCTTACTGGCAGAAATCATTGCTGTTTCCTCAGCTTTTTTGGTATCATTCCAAGCTGCTTCCTGATGGAGATCACTAACATGGTCGCGTAACTGTTTTTCTTGTTGTTCCTGAAATATATTGATAGTTCTGCCATCATTAGGTAGAACCCTAAGAGGTTTCTCTGCGGTGTCGTTCCTACGTCCAGTGAGCCTCAAACAAATACGAGCTCGCACTAGGGCATGATCTGAATCTAAACATGTGCCCCAGAACGAGCGACAGTCCTCTATCGAACCCCTACGTCGATGACTGGTGGCAATGTGATCTATTCGGGTCCAGCACTGGGACGACTTTGGGGGTGGCCAGGTCAAAAGATGCTTTTCCTTATGCCTAAAGTTAGTGTTTGCTAGAAACAGGCGGTTATCTGAGCACAGTTGCAACAGACGGTTGCAATTATCTGTTCTCAGCCGCGACACCATAAGATCCACCCAGGTGTTTTTCCTTTTCACTTAGTCTACCTACTTGAGCATTAAAGTCACCAGCCATTATTACTACATCGGAGCGCCTAACTTTTTGGAGGAGGTTCGAAAGCTTTCTGTAGAACTTGTCTTTCACCTCGTCTGAACTGCAATCAGTGGGGGGCATAGGCAGATACGACGAAGAGGTAACGACGGTTGTCCTTATCTTTCCGAGTCCTTACTGTCCCGTTCAGTCAGACGGCGCACAAACGACCATCTAAAGAGATCCAGTCTAGGAAAGCTAATTCTGCCCTACGACTCAATGCTATACGTACGTCAGCGAGTCCTCGGGAAGCAGCATCGGGGTTACCGGATACACGAAGATTAACTCGATCTGCTTCTTTGTTTTGACAAGACGAAATCAGATTAATGACTTTACTAGTTCCTGTATGCGCGTTTCTGAGACCCAGGATACATCGATGGCGCGTAATACTAAAGTTCTAGCTAACGAAGCCTGTTGCCCTATTTGACATAATGTACCTACATTAAGTGCTCCAACATGTAGTTTAGAACGGGGTTTCAGGAGCCCATGAATAACGTTTCGGGAACTCAAATCGTTTTCAGCAGAGTTGCAGGGTGATAAAGGAATGTGAGAAGAGTTAGTTGTGGAGATAAGAGAGATGTTAGGGGGTGTAGGAAGGATTTGATTGTGGCCAATTTGGTCTCGCGTGCTGTTACGTGTATGATAGCGGTTGTCACTTCCCAGCTGCCCACACTGTGGAAGGTTGTTTCTTGAGGGACCTGAAAAGGAAGATAGATTTGTGTTGGTCTTAACGACCTGGGAGCGTGACTGCAGAGTCCAAGGGACAACTGCTTGAGGCCGGTTACGCACGGCCTTTTTTTGAAGCGTTTTTTGAGTATTAGCTCCGACGAAGACGGAAATCCGTGAGGTAGGGTGAGGTGTGACATTTTTAGGGTCGACCTTTTCTAACCCTTCCTTCCTTGTGATAAGGTAGTATCGCTGCAGATGCTGGTTGTCCGACGGAAATACCTTATTGCTGTTACACCCCTCTGAAGTCAGCAGTACGACTTCGCCCTCAGACCTTCAGTAGCTGCTTCCAATCTCATCGTTCTCCAATCGACCTGCCTGGCATGGTAGGACCTGCAGGAACATATGTTCCAGCCGGTATAGCTCGGTTGGGTCATCACGATAGGCAAGCCCGACCACCACGTCAAGGTAGCAGCTTCGGTTGGGATTTGCTGCTTGAAATGTTTTTGGACTGAAACAAGGCAAGTGTCCTGAAGAAAGAAAAGGAAGATTGACATTTCAGAAGCGATGGATTGATAATAACTGACAAACTAGATGCTAGCAGAATGTAACTGTCTTTAACAGATGTGGGGATCGGCTTAAGTCTAGTTAAAAGTTGGTGGTCGTGATAAGAGAGGTATCTTAATCAACATACTTGTTCAGCATCTGAATAAGATATCATGGTATTTAAAATAAACAGGTTGTCTATGCACAGGTTCAGACTAAGAAATTAATTTCGGTAGCTAGTTAGCATTTTTGCGGATATTAACTGGACTTTAAATACTGAAGACTAAACTTTAACCCGTTTGTAATTCTCTTCAGTGATCCAACTTCAAATTTTTATCTGCAGCAGGATTATAAAATTTGATTGAACTAATGATTTTGCTGCTGTAACAATTATTTTCAAATAAAATGCGTGATCATATGTCATTTTGGCCATTTTTTTAAATTTGTTACTAAGTCATCCTCCTTACCTGTTTTATTGCTTTCCCTATTTAAAGCATATGTTACCATTTCTTACATGGTTGTTTGTTATCAAAATGGTTATTCATTTGTATTTTAAGCAGGTGTTTTGTATTTTAATACCGCTTTATAATTCGTGTCACTATTTTTATTCAGTCGCGGAATAATGAAATGTGATAAACTTGCAAATGAACGTTGGTTTCCGGAATTAAATTGTGTTAAATATCTCATCTCTACGATTTCCTTTCTTACCTGGAAGTTTTTGTATGATTTTATTGTTTTTTCTCCAGGTACGGACTACTACTCAGTAACGGCATTCAAGAAGATGAATGCATTCCGTAAAGAGGGGCAGCTCTGTGATGTGGTTATCAAAGCAGAGGGAAAAGAATTTTTAGCTCACCGAGTAGTTTTGGCAGCTTCTAGCGATTATTTTGACGCCATGTTTTCAAGTGGGGTAAGCTTATTCCTAAACGCAAAGACCTTATTTCAATCAACTATTTGTGTTACATATTTTTATAATTATTGTTAGCACCTACTGGAGTTTCGAAATGTTTTCGATATTCGGTTTTTAAACATTCAACGGTACATATTCTGTTACCGGTATATAAATCGCCCGTATAATTTAAGCGATGTATGACGTTTTGATAGAATGTAAACAGTAAGTTAACTCATCTTGTTACACGGTTGCGAATAGATTGCATGGACGAGATTATCTTCAATCTTTACCCTCCTTTAAACATTGAGTTTTAGCACACACATAGTTTCTCCATATCATTTATTACTTTCGAACTACATTTCGTATATTCAGTCTTTTTCTGTCGTTTGACTACTATTATTTTGGCCACTGATTTCAATCTTTTGGTCCTTTCACTACTCTGATGTGGTATTGTAAGTTTGCTCCATGTATATTTGTTCTAGGTTTGTGATCTTTGTGATTTATCGTGTTCGATACCAAATTATTCAAATAATAGTTATCTTTCACATAGTGTTATAATTGTTTTGGTTTAATTTTTTTATGTGACCATGTCATTTGTTAGTTGGGTTCTGTAGATGTAAGGGAGTAGCTTATTAGCTAAAGCACTGAATCTCTAACCTTTGAGTCGCAAATCTAAATCAGGCTTCACCTTTTACTTAAGCAGCGGAGTGCTATCACTAGCCCTTCCACATGAAAGGTGTGATTCAAGGCTGAATATATTACAGTGTGCAGTGCTGTTGATTCAAATGAATTGCATACAGTATGTGTGTATTATTATTATCATCGAACTCTGTGGCTTCCTAATAGTTAACTAAGTTAGCTCCCATTCAGAAGTTCCAAGTTTCGTTCAAACATTTTATTTGATCCTTCTAGACGTTTTTCTATCTTTTTGAATCGGTCAAACCATGCTTCCGAAGCATACTTAAAGGGTCAGTCAGTCAGTTAGAACATAGTACTTCATACGTACGTACATCAGTTCAGGTTGCCATATCACATTAGCACAGAGACGCCATTGTCAATTCAAATCCCACAGCAGTAGAGGTAGTAAAATTATTAGCGGTAATCGGTGAGATTAGGGTTGGAAGATATTAATCAAGAAGTATAATGTAGTGGAATAAACTCAAAAAGAGGAGGATAAAGGTGATTAGGAATCCAGAGGATTAGGATTTCAGATAAGCCAAAGAATAGATGCGCCCGCGCCATTGCAAACGGTTTTGAGGTATGTCACTCAAAGTCTCTAACCGTCGATTACTATTACCTCACAAACCCCAACCAGTTAGTCTACACCTATCAGCACTACTCAGCCCACTTGTCAGTAACTTCTTGGATTTGTACCATTTTTCAGGTTGGCTTTCTCCCAACCTACTACTACATCAGACAACATCGCACGTCTAGGCAGTCGGTGGAACCTGGTTTTGAATCACTGTCATTATTTTTATACATATTAATCTATTAATTATATCCTTTTTTAATTTACTTATTCATGCATTCATTATGTTTTATTTTCTATCAGATGGCAGAGTCAGCACAGCTGGAAGTTGAACTCAAGTCTATAACTCCTGAAATAATGGATGCCCTTTTAGATTATGTATACACTGGCCAAGTTCGTGTAAGCATGGCTAATGTGCAAGATCTACTTCCAGCAGCAAGTCTTGTTCAAATGGAGGGTGTTAAGGCTGCTTGCTCTAATTTCCTTTTGACAGAAGTAGATTCCACAAATGTACTTGGAATCAGACGATTCGCTGAACTGCATAACTGTATAGAATTAGAGAAGTTTACACGAAACTTTGCTGCTTGTAATTTTGAGTCAGTTGTTGACTCTGAGGAATTCGTATGCCTCACACCTGAGGAATTGCTTGATCTTATTACAAGAGAAGATTTACATGTAAGCAGTCAAATAAATTAGATAAACTTTGAGTACATAATTTTCATCTCGCTAATTCGGGAATCTGGGATTTTGCTTGTTTTCAACTACTGTTTACACATATTTAGCTTATCTTGACTTTTGATGTATTAAGTTAAGTAGTTTCTGACTAACTAAGTTACTTTTGTGATTATTTAATGTTTTTGGACTATCCTATAACTAAGGGTATCTTTGACCAATCAGTCAGCACATATATGCACTGCAATATAATTGTCTTACTTGACGTATTAGAATAAGCATGCAAAACAGCATTATTTGCCAGAACCTCTTTAGATACGTTGCACAATGAAGTTCTTGTTTGATCCCTGCGAGCCTTCCCGACCGTAGCTGCTACCTTGACGTGGTGGTCGGGCTTGCCTATCGTGATGACCCAACCGAGCTATACCGGCTGGAACATATGTTCCTGCAGGTCCTACCATGCCAGGCAGGTCGATTGGAGAACGATGAGATTGGAAGCAGCTACTGAAGGTCTGAGGGCGAAGTCGTACTGCTGACTTCAGAGGGGTGTAACAGCAATAAGGTATTTCCGTCGGACAACCAGCATCTGCAGCGATACTACCTTATCACAAGGAAGGAAGGGTTAGAAAAGGTCGACCCTAAAAATGTCACACCTCACCCTACCTCACGGATTTCCGTCTTCGTCGGAGCTAATACTCAAAAAACGCTTCAAAAAAAGGCCGTGCGTAACCGGCCTCAAGCAGTTGTCCCTTGGACTCTGCAGTCACGCTCCCAGGTCGTTAAGACCAACACAAATCTATCTTCCTTTTCAGGTCCCTCAAGAAACAACCTTCCACAGTGTGGGCAGCTGGGAAGTGACAACCGCTATCATACACGTAACAGCACGCGAGACCAAATTGGCCACAATCAAATCCTTCCTACACCCCCTAACATCTCTCTTATCTCCACAACTAACTCTTCTCACATTCCTTTATCACCCTGCAACTCTGCTGAAAACGATTTGAGTTCCCGAAACGTTATTCATGGGCTCCTGAAACCCCGTTCTAAACTACATGTTGGAGCACTTAATGTAGGTACATTATGTCAAATAGGGCAACAGGCTTCGTTAGCTAGAACTTTAGTATTACGCGCCATCGATGTATCCTGGGTCTCAGAAACGCGCATACAGGAACTAGTAAAGTCATTAATCTGATTTCGTCTTGTCAAAACAAAGAAGCAGATCGAGTTAATCTTCGTGTATCCGGTAACCCCGATGCTGCTTCCCGAGGACTCGCTGACGTACGTATAGCATTGAGTCGTAGGGCAGAATTAGCTTTCCTAGACTGGATCTCTTTAGATGGTCGTTTGTGCGCCGTCTGACTGAACGGGACAGTAAGGACTCGGAAAGATAAGGACAACCGTCGTTACCTCTTCGTCGTATCTGCCTATGCCCCCCACTGATTGCAGTTCAGACGAGGTGAAAGACAAGTTCTACAGAAAGCTTTCGAACCTCCTCCAAAAAGTTAGGCGCTCCGATGTAGTAATAATGGCTGGTGACTTTAATGCTCAAGTAGGTAGACTAAGTGAAAAGGAAAAACACCTGGGTGGATCTTATGGTGTCGCGGCTGAGAACAGATAATTGCAACCGTCTGTTGCAACTGTGCTCAGATAACCGCCTGTTTCTAGCAAACACTAACTTTAGGCATAAGGAAAAGCATCTTTTGACCTGGCCACCCCCAAAGTCGTCCCAGTGCTGGACCCGAATAGATCACATTGCCACCAGTCATCGACGTAGGGGTTCGATAGAGGACTGTCGCTCGTTCTGGGGCACATGTTTAGATTCAGATCATGCCCTAGTGCGAGCTCGTATTTGTTTGAGGCTCACTGGACGTAGGAACGACACCGCAGAGAAACCTCTTAGGGTTCTACCTAATGATGGCAGAACTATCAATATATTTCAGGAACAACAAGAAAAACAGTTACGCGACCATGTTAGTGATCTCCATCAGGAAGCAGCTTGGAATGATACCAAAAAAGCTGAGGAAACAGCAATGATTTCTGCCAGTAAGGTAAACCATAATGTTAGGAAGAAGCCGTGGATCTCAGTAGCATCCACCGAACTGATAGAGGCTCGAAAACTCATCCCACCTGGCTCTGAACATGACGAAGAACGAAGTCAGCTTAGGCGCAGGCTGATAAAAAGCCTAAGCAACGACCGCGAACAGCGGTGAGTAATGAAAGCAAGAGAGATGGAAAAGGCAGTAGCGACAGGCAAAAGTAGGCAACTATTCAGACTGATCAAGGAAACTGGTATTAGGAATCCTAGTGTAAGTGAGACTATCTCGGAAAATGATGGTCTTATTATCCATTCTCAATCCAGGAGACTGGACCGATGGGCAGAACATTTCAGGGATCAGTTCAAATGGCCTTCAGCCACACTTCGGTTAACCACGATCTCCAGTCGTCCTGAATGGCAAATCGACGTAAGTCGCCCTAGTCTTTATGAAGTTAAGAAAGTGATAGGAAATCTGAAGCGAGGGTGAGCAGCAGGACCTTATAGATTGACCCCTGAGATGTTTAAGGATGGTGGTCCGGTTTTAACAGCAAGATTAACTGAGGTCTTGGGCGAAATCTGGAAACTGGACGTACTCTCATCCGACTGGTCTCAATCACTGATTGTCCCGATTTATAAGGAAGGAAAATAGTCCTCTAGTGACAATCACAGGGGAATAAGTCTAACTAATATAGTTCCTAAATTGTTAGCCTCAGTTATCCTTGGACGCCTAACTAGAGCTCGTGAAGAGCAGACTCGAGAAAACCAGGCTGGTTTCAGACTTGGACGTGGATGTATAGACCACATCTTCACACTGCGACAGGTCCTGGAACAGACACACATTTAGGCGTCCGACAATAGTTGTCTTCCTGGACCTTAAGGTGGCATTTGACTCAGTGGATCGTGAGGTTCTGTGGAAGTGTCTGTCTTTGAAAGGTGTGTAGTCAACGAGAACACAGGTGGGGTAACGGTATTATACTTAACGAAAATTACAGAGTTACTCAGTAAAATCGGAAAACCATATCGTAAATCACTAATTTGCAAAATATCAGTTCATCATATCGAACTGGACTGTTCCTGTTGCAAAACATGAATCCATTGTCACTATTCATGCGTTTCATACAAATTCCATTGTGTTCTAACCCTTCCTTTCTTGATCTTCCCCCCATTTTCTGCTGCCAGACATTACGTTGACACTCACGTCATATTCTACTTATAAGTAGCTCGCACCACAGGTGTACCAATCAAGTACATTAACCTTATATAAGCTCTCTACTCGAACACTACAGGTCGAGTTAGAGCTTATGGCGAACTGTCATCGGAATTAGTTGCTTCAAGTGGTGTCCATCAGGGATGTCCACTCTACCAATTTTTGTTTAACTTTGTCGTAGATATGCTTCTAGAGTTAACAATATCATCGTCAGACTCTTCAGGAGTAGACCTACCAGGAGGCTCGCTTATTGACTTAGAATATGCCGATGACATAATTCTATTCGCTGAAGACTGACAAAATGCAGGGGTCTTCTGACCACCCTCAGCAACAATGCAAGCATGTTCAGGATGCGGTGTTCCTCTTCGAAATGTAAAATGTTGCTTCAAGATTGGGTCGCATCGATACCTGATATAGTGATAGGGAGTGAAGTAGATGAGCGTGTTCACCGCTTCACTTATCTGCGGAGTCTCATCAGTGCTGATAGCCTGGATACGGATATAGAAGGATCAATTGACTTTTGCCAACTTGCGTCACTTATGGCGTAAGCGAGATATCCGTTTGCTGACCAAAGGACGTGTGTACTGCGCGGTAGTTCGTTCCGTCCTACTTTATGGCTGTGAAACATGACCAGTCAGAGTAGATATTCGTAGGTTACTGGTTTTCGATCATAGGTGTCTTCGAAGCATCTTGACCGACATGGCTCAAAATCGTTTGCAATGGCGCAGGTGCATTCATTGGTTGTGTTCTCTCAAATTCTAAACTTTTTATTTCTTCATCACTTTATCCTTATCTTTGTAGGTCTATTTCACTAGATTCTACTTCTTGAATAATATCTTCTAATCCTAATCTCTCCGACTGCTGACGATACTTTTACCTCTACTACTATCGGATTTGCATTGACATTACACCTCTGCTAATGTGGTATGGCAACATTAACTGGTGTACGTACGTACGAAGTTCTACGTTGCTATTGAATGATTGCTCGTGTATCGTGGGACAACCGAGTAAGCAATGCTGCCATTAGGAAGCGAGTACTAGGTAATGATGGCGGATCGACTGATGAAGTATTGAAACGTCATTAGTTGAGGTGGTTGGGACGTGTGTTAGGAATGCCCAACCAACGACTGCCGCGACGAGCTACGTTTTGTGGTGTAGGAGTAGGTTGGACGAAGGCTAGGTGCGGCCAGACCAAAACACGGCAGAAATCCACGAAATCACTGACAAGTGGACTGAGTCATGTTGGTAGATGTAGGCTTCGTGGTTGGGGTCAGCGAGACGAAAGTCACCAATGGTTAGAGATCTTGACCGACATGGCTCAAAATCGTTTGCGATGGCGCAGGTGCATCCACTCTTTGTGTTCTCTTTAAATCTAACCTTCTGAATTCCTCATCATCTCTATCTTTCTCTTTCTAAATTTATCTCACTGCATTATACTTCTCGAATCATATCTTCGCTCCCTAATCTTCTGCATTACTGCTAATACTTCTACTATCGCTATCACTCTTGGATTTGAACTGACAGTTGCGTCTCTGTGCTGATGTGGTATGGCAACCTGAATTGATGTACTTATGAACGAAGTTCTGCGTTGTATCTCTCTGTCTGTCTGATGGCAAGTCGAACTGATCCCTGATCTGTTCCGCCCATCGGTCCAATCTCCCTGATTTAGATTGACCAATAATCTCATCCGTTTCCGAGATAGTTTCACTTACAGTCGGATTCGTAATACCAGTTCCTTGATAAGTCCAATCAGTGTTCTTTCTTCTACAATCGCCGCTGTCTTTTCCAAATCTCTCGGTTTCGTTACTAACCACCGTTTGCATTCATTGCGTACAATTTTTTTCAGCTTGCGATCAAGCTGACTTTACTCTTTGTCATGTTCAGAGCAAGGTGGGATGAGTTTCCGAGCGTTTATTAGCTCGGTTGATGCTACTGAGATTCACGTCTTGTCCCTAACCTTATAGTTTGCCTTACCTGCAGATATGATTGCTGTTTCCACAGCTTTTTTGATAATATTCCAAGCTGCCGCGGGGCGGGAATCATTTACATGGCTGCCTAACTGCCTTTCTAGTTGTTCCAAAATTATATTCTTAGCTTTTCTGTCGTTAAGTAGAACCGTAAGAGGTTTCCTTTCAATATCTTTGCTACATCCATCAAGCCTCAAACGGATAGGCGTTCGCACTAGACCGTGATTTGAATCTTAACATGTGCCCCAGAACGAGCAACAGTCGTCTATCGAACCCCTTCATCGCTGGCTGACGGCGATGGGATCTAGTCGGGTCCAACGTTCGGACGACTTCGGGGTCACCAAGTCAAAAGATGTTTTTCTTTATACTTATATTCAGTGTTTGCTAGAAACAGGCACTTATCTGATCATAGTTGCAGAGGACGGTCGCCATTATCTATTCTCTGAGTCTCACAACACCTTAAGGCCCCACCAAAGTGTCCTTCCTTTTCACTTAGTCTACCTACTTGAGCATTAAAGTCACCAGCCACTATTATTACATCAGAGTGCCTAGCGTTTTAGTGGGAGTCGAAAAGTTTTCTGTAAAATTCATCTTTCATCTCATCCGAGCTGCAGTCAGTGGGGGCGTAGGCCGATAAGACGAAGAGGTAGCGACTGTTGTCCTTATCTTTCCGAGTCCTTACTGTCCCGTTTAGTCGGGACAGTACATAAGTGACTGTCTACCTTAATCCAGTCTAAGAGAGCTTGTTCTGCCATAGGACTTAATACTATACGTACACCAGCGAGGCCATGGGAAGCAGTAGCAGGGTTTCCAGATACATGGAGCATAAATGGAGACGGTTCTCTATTTGGGCAGGGTAAAGTCAAATTATTGATTCTACCCTCATCCTGCATGCGCGTTTCAAAGACGCAGCATACATCGATGGCGCGATATTCTAATGTCCTAGCTAAGGAAGACTTTTTTCCTATATGGTATAAGATTGGAACATTAAGAGCTCCAACATCTAGTTTAGAGTGTGATTTTAGGAGACTAGAAATAGCGTTCTGTGTACTCTGATTGTTTGCATTAGCGGCGCAAGCTGATAAAGGAACGTGAGAATGTTTGGTTATGGAGGTAAGAGGGTTAATAAAAAGTACAGGGAGGATTTGATTACAACCAAATTGGTCTCGTGTGCTTTTACGGGTATGAGGGTGGTTTTCACCTCTCGGCTGCCAACACCGTGGAAGGGTATTTCTTGAGGAACCTGAAAAGGAAATCGGATTAGTGTTGATCTTAGAAACCTGGGAGTGTGGACGCAGAGCCCAAGGGACAACTGCTGCAGGCCGGTTACACATGGCCGTTTTATGGTAAGTTTGTACGAGGTTAGCTCGGCTCTTCAAGTGGTCTTACCCCTGGAGAAGGAAATCCGTGGGCTAAGACTAGGCGTGACATTTTACCAGTCGATTGTTTCTAACCCCTTCCTTCCATTGTGAAAAGGCGGCTTCTCTGCAGATGCTGGTTGTGTGAGGTAAACACCCTACTGCTATCACACCCCTCTATAGTCAGCAGTACGACTTCGCCCTCAGACCTTGATCAGCTGCTTCTAGTCTCATTGTCCTTCAGTCGACCAGCCGGGCAATGTAGAACTTACATGAACATATGTTCCAGCCGATTTAGCTTGGTTGGGTGATCACAATAGGCAAGCCCGACCACCACGTCAAGGTAGCAGGTTCGATCTTTCACTTGTTTGAGATCCATATTAATATTTTTCTCTTTATTTTTCGTTTGATAAAAGCACTGACTAATACATCTTAATGCATTTTTTAGATCAATAATGAAGAATCTGTATATAGCGCTGTTATGCGCTGGGTATATCATCAACCCATTGAAAGGGTCGCAAACCTTCCTTCTTTACTTCGAAACATTCGTCTTTCAGTTATGTCAGTTCGGTTTCTTACAGATGTAGTGGATAAAGATGTAAGTATTTTTACACAGAAATCATTGGACAGTTTTTTATTACATTTTATGCTTAGTGTTTTTTGGTTTATTTGCTAATCAGCTGTCGTTTGTCGTGCTTTTACTATCACTGAACTTTTATTGAAGTTGGTTAAGGTTTTATGATTAATCTTGAGTCTGTATGGACTCTTTTTTTGTGTTTGCTTAATTCAAGAATGCACATTTGAAGTCCTAAATGTAATCATTAAATACTGTGATCAATAAGTACAGTATTTAAAACCATGATATACACTGGTGTATTGACAACAAAGAGCTTAGTATTGAGATCTTTGATTAAATAATCAATCCTAAGGATGTTTTTTCTTCAGAGTTTCGAATGTGTTCTTCCCACATTAAATGCAAAATCTTGCGAAGTATCAGACAGACAGACAGAGAGATACAACGCAGAACTTCGTTCATAAGTACATTAGTTCAGGTTGCCATACCACATCAGCACAGAGACGCAACTGTCAGTTCAAATCCAAGAGTGATAGCGATAGTAGAAGTATTAGCAGTAATGCAGAAGATTAGGGAGCGAAGATATGATTCGAGAAGTATAATGCAGTGAGATAAATTTAGAAAGAGAAAGATAGAGATGATGAGGAATTCAGAAGGTTAGATTTAAAGAGAACACAAAGAGTGGATGCACCTGCGCCATCGCAAACGATTTTGAGCCATGTCGGTCAAGATCTCTAACCATTGGTGACTTTCGTCTCGCTGACCCCAACCACGAAGCCTACATCTACCAACATGACTCAGTCCACTTGTCAGTGATTTCGTGGATTTCTGCCGTGTTTTGGTCTGGCCGCACCTAGCCTTCGTCCAACCTACTCCTACACCACAAAACGTAGCTCGTCGCGGCAGTCGTTGGTTGGGCATTCCTAACACACGTCCCAACCACGTCAACTGATGAATTTTCACTACTTCGCCTATTATTTTGCCATTCCTATCTAATAATGGTTTACCAACGAGTTCATTGCTTATACGGTTGACCCAGGTTACACTAGTAATGCTTCGGAGACCTATGTTCGAAGACTAGTAACCTACGATATACGGAGCGAGCTGCTGCAAGGTACACTGATCCTTTAGTTGGCGAAATGACATTTCGCCTACGCTATAAGTGACGCAAGTTGGCAAAGGCCAGTCTTGCCTTCTGTAACGGAGCTGAGATTTCGTCAGTCACCAGGCCATCATCACTGATGAGACTCCGCAGATAAGTGAAGCGGTGAACACGCTCATCTACTTCACTCCCTATCACTATATCAGGTATCGATGCGACCCAATCTTGAAGCAACATTTTACATTTCGAAGAGGAACACCGCATCCTGAACATGCTTGCATTGTTGCTGAGGGTGGTCAGAAGACCCCTGCATTTTGTCAGTCTTCAGCGAATAGAATTATGTCATCGGCATATTCTAAGTCAATAAGCGAGCCTCCTGGTAGGTCTACTCCTGAAGAGTCTGACGATGATATTGTTAACTCTAGAAGCATATCTACGACAAAGTTAAACAAAAATTGGTAGAGTGGACATCCCTGATGGACACCACTTGAAGCAACTAATTCCGATGACAGTTCGCCATAAGCTCTAACTCGACCTGTAGTGTTCGAGTAGAGAGCTTATATAAGGTTAATGTACTTGATTGGTACACCTGTGGTGCGAGCTACTTATAAGTAGAATATGACGTGAGTGTCAACGTAATGTCTGGCAGCAGAAAATGGGGGGAAGATCAAGAAAGGAAGGGTTAGAACACAATGGAATTTGTATGAAACGCATGAATAGTGACAATGGATTCATGTTTTGCAACAGGAACAGTCCAGTTCGATATGATGAACTGATATTTTGCAAATTAGTGATTTACGATATGGTTTTCCGATTTTACTGAGTAACTCTGTAATTTTCGTTAAGTATAATACCGTTACCCCACCTGTGTTCTCGTTGACTACACACCTTTCAAAGACAGACACTTCCACAGAACCTCACGATCCACTGAGTCAAATGCCACCTTAAGGTCCAGGAAGACAACTATTGTCGGACGCCTAAATGTGTGTCTGTTCCAGGACCTGTCGCAGTGTGAAGATGTGGTCTATACATCCACGTCCAAGTCTGAAACCAGCCTGGTTTTCTCGAGTCTGCTCTTCACGAGCTCTAGTTAGGCGTCCAAGGATAACTGAGGCTAACAATTTAGGAACTATATTAGTTAGACTTATTCCCCTGTGATTGTCACTAGAGGACTATTTTCCTTCCTTATAAATCGGGACAATCAGTGATTGAGACCAGTCGGATGAGAGTACGTCCAGTTTCCAGATTTCGCCCAAGACCTCAGTTAATCTTGCTGTTAAAACCGGACCACCATCCTTAAACATCTCAGGGGTCAATCTATAAGGTCCTGCTGCTCACCCTCGCTTCAGATTTCCTATCACTTCAGTCGGACGGCACACAAACGACCATCTTAAGGGATCCAGTCTAGGAGAGCTAGTTCTGCCCTACGACTCAATGCTATACGTACGTCAGCGAGTCCCCGGGAAGCATCATCGGGGTTACCGGATACACGAAGATTAACTCGATCTGCTTCTTTGTTTTGACAAGACGAAATCAGATTAATGACTTTACTAGTTCCTGTATGCGCGTTTCCGAGACGCAGCATACATCGATGGCGCGAAATTCTAAGGTTCTAGCTAACGAAGCCTGTTGCCCTATTTGAGATAATGTACCTACATTAAGTGTTCCAACATGTAGTCAAGAACGGATTTTTAGGAGACCAGGAATGACGTTTCGTGAACTCTCATCGTTTGCATTTTTCTGCAGTTGGCAGTACGTCTTCGCCGTCAGACCTCGAGTAGGTGCTTTTAATCTCATCGTTCTCCTATGCACCTGCCTGCTATGGTAGTACCTTCAGGAACACATATTCCAGCCAACATAACTTGATTGGGCCATCACGATTGGCGAACTGGGCCACCGAGTCATGGTAGCTGCTACGGTCGGTTATCGCTAGAATTGATCATAGGAAGTGAAGTTTCTCCGTGTATTTATCATCCCACTTGTTCTGGAAATCTCATTAACTCTGTTTGGTTGATTTCTGAAGAAATCCGAACGTCCTTTTGAAACGCTGTTTCAGTGTTCGACACCCTACGTGACGTTTAAAAGTAGTAGGAATCTGTAGACTTATTTTTTGTTCATAACTATCTTCAAAGCACCCTAGTTTAAGTATTGTCGCAGGGTTAGGTAAAGATGCGAAATCGCCTTTTGATGCTATTAATATTCATCAAATAGGGTGTCCGAGACATGTCATAAATGTATTCCATCGCGACGTGAGATGTCGGGTAGGCTGAAGAAAGGAGTGGTTAAATCATGTCATCAGTTAATGAGTAGCGGAATGTTTGGTCCGAGCTTTTTTGATAGGTGCAGCTACCTAATTGAGGTCTATGTGATCAACGAATGGAAACTTCAGGTGACGTGGCCGAAAATCATCCACACTAGCGTAGATGCATTCGTTTGTTTTCGATGTTCGTGTTAATATTATGTGCATCTTCGATTAAAGTCAACTCATACGAAGCTATGTATTGATTATTACTGACTGGGATATGAAAGTGATTATGTTGCAACGTAGTAATCTTTATTTTTAAATTTGTTCATAATCTCTGCGTTTTAGCGTCTTATTCGACAATCTCTCGAGTGTCGGGATTTGGTGGATGATGCTAAACGATTTCATTTACGGCCAGATTTGCGCCATGAAATGCGTGATCGAAGATTTCGTCAGCGTGACGGTGGCAATGAGTACTTAGTTGTCATCGGTGGCTTCGGTTCTGATCAGGACCCTTCGGATTCCGTTGAAATGTTTAACCCACGAACTTTAGAATGGAATGAATTACCTGTAAGTTAAGTTATATATTAATATCAAGGCGTATAGGTTTTGCATAAGTTTTATTTCGTGTCAATTCAACTGTAGTACTTTCATTTGCTGTCATTTTATTATTGTTATTATGTTGTCAAGTTTTTACATTCTCCGAACTCTTGAATCTTGTGATCCATTGTCTTATCAACTATCTAATCTATTTTCCGAAATAATTTGTTTCCTTAATACCTGTTGACTTTAATTTAGACAACTATGATTCTATATCTTTTTCTGCATTGTACGGATTAATTTTAACCTTTAGCCATCGTTTCCAAAAAAATATGAAGCAGATCAACACTAAACAAATATCTGAAATCGAGAACTAAAAATCTTGCAAGTCATATCTCCCACTGGCTGGTTATGTGGTTGACAGCTATTAATGTATATTCTGGGAAAATTAGTTTGTCTGTCAGATTATCCAGTTTTAATTTTTTGATTTAGATTTGTAAACTCCGAACCTCAAGCTAAACCACAGTTTATTTGTGACTCACCAATTATTTCAAGGTTCGTGTACCGAGCTGCGAGTTAACGACTTCCGAAACATCCATATTCAAATACTTCCCCTCTTAGGTTAAAAGAACCGAATTTTCCTCACACTCAAACTAATCTTGCTGTTATTGTTAAATGATTGCTGATAGTCTTGTATAAAATTACTGCTGTGTGCAAGTACAAAGTATCACTCCTTTGATAGGTTGCTTGTCTTCATTTCACGTTTTAGTTTCAGTCTCAAAAATCCGACATTATAAACCAGTACGAGTAATGCTTCACTGAAAGAGAGAATCAAACCATTTGAACCCTTACAGTTTATTCTTATCAGCATCCCACAATCCCGAATGCCATTCCCGTATTCCTGTGACTAACAAAAGATGAAGCGCTGGTGCTAGCAGGTGGTTTATAATTAGTGAACTCAACAGTGTAGCTCCATTTCAAAAATTAATTTGTCACTTAATCCAAAATTCAATGGCAAAATGATTGTGTGGTAGCTTTTGGGGTTTTCTTCAATTTAAGGTGGAAATTTGTCATTTTAAAGTTCATCATCCAGCAAACACTACTTCATTTGACAAATATTCAAGTTCTTTTATAACTACCTTTTAGGATTTGCCGATAAGTTACCGCTATGTCGCAGCATGTTCATTGGGTACATGTGTCTATGTCATTGGTGGTTTTGATGGAAATGAAAGACTGAATACCGTATACTTTCTTGATATTGCTCAACGAGAAGAAGGCTGGCGTTTACTTACTCCTATGCACTATAAAAGAGGTTTATCTGCTGCCTGCACAAATAAAGGTAGGTATGAAAATGGTTTATCTCATATTAATTAAAGTGTAATTATATTTTGAGTATATGAATGAATCCCCCCAAGTTATTACTGAGTTAAAGCTTTGTTACTGTTCAGATTATAAATTTTACTTCACTACCTCAATGTCAGATGAACGTGTAAAAGTGTTCATCTAAATTTGAATGAATATTTTCTTAATTACTAAAGACTGATCAGATAGAAGACAATAAAATTTCAGCGATTAAAATTAAACATAACTGCCAGGTTTTAGCTCCAATCACCAAGATTTTTACAAATATAATCTCCTTTTTAATACCAAGTGGACTTATTCCATACAGCTAGTCCTTATGACAATTTTTTGCAAACCAATAGTAACGAATATTGTGGGATAAACTGAGCTCATTTTATTTCGTGCAGGTTAAACCTATCTACTCACTGAATTGTATCATTACACATTTTGCAAATGTAATTTGGTATGTAACGTAAGTAATGCTACTTAGTTCATCAGTGAAATTATGAAAGTTATACTAATTACTAAGAAATCAGTGGTAGAATATTCATAATAATTGTGATGATAATTATTGAAGAGGGTGTGAGATAACAGAAGTAGTTGGATGATTAAATCAGTGAGGGGTCAAACATTTGATTGAGCTATCTTAAAATGATGAGGTTCGTCATGATAATCATAAATTTTAAATAAAAATTTGATTAAAGCAAAGTGTTATTGTTAAATAATTAAGGATAAAGTCATACAAGTAAACTGACAGAAAAAAAGAATGAAAATAAAGTTCAGCAGTGAATGTCACCATGGCAGTGCCAAGTAAACCTCGAGTTCTTTTTAGACACATAAGTTGATGTTCAGACGATAAATGGCCTCTAACTCTTCGTAACATAAAATTCTCTTGTTATCCTGCCAATCTGTTACTCAAAACGTATTACCGAATTCTATTGTATGACTCGTGTTTATTATATGTTCTCTTAAACTGCTGCTTTGTAGTTTGGTTCCATTCATGATTAACCTCCTTGGCATATTTTCTGAGATTCAGATAATACTCTGTCTCTTCGTGTTGCTACTTGTACTGGTAAGTAGGTAGATACAATTGAAGTTGACTAGAGTCAACCTGTCGTATATGTTAGATTTTTTAAGTGACGTTTTTGTCTCATTAGATTATTAGGATGGCAGCAAAAAAGTTAACCCAATGCTAGCCCTAAGTCGAAACTCCTGGAGTTACTGCCGGTTCCAAGCTCGGATAAAGGAGGTCGGTTGGGCGTGTGGTTAGCCACCTCGTCCCTCAGAAAACTAACTCGCTAAAAAAGATGCTAACCAGAAAAATAATTCCAATCATTTAAACTCTGCACTGGGAGTTGGAAAGTCTTCGTTTAGAAGAGTTATGACGTTTCATGATGAAAGCCGAGTTCTGGGTTCCAGCCTTTAGTCGAGGCCTATTCTGCTTGCTAACATCATCATGTCCAACATGGTAGAAACATGGTTAATATACAAATTCCAGTTTGAATATGTGTACCAGTTTCCCGAATATTCACTCCTTAATCACTCGTTTTAGTAGTTTGAAGTTCATAAATTCGAAACAAATTATCCACGCTGGACTTGACAGAAACTCTTATTTTATTTATATGCTTATGCTTCTGATAGCCTACTCCATGGTTTTGTATGAAGTTACTAAATATCATCAATCTTATGCAAGGTATTTTTGTCTTTTGTGGAAGAATAGAAGTAACTTAGATGATGTAGTGATGCTGTCCATGATAAATCTTACTAAGTGGTTTTCAAATTATTCTGCAGTTAACAGTTCTTATGTATTTTTATTGCTCTTTTTTATGATATGCTTTTTCTTTGCATATCCACCTATTTGTTTATCAATTAATATGAGTTTTATAGTAGGGATTATTTTACACTCATGAATTCTCGTTTACTTTAGGTCTAATCTATGTCTGTGGTGGTTTTGACGGTCAGTCACGTCTTCGATCATTCGAAGTTTATCATCCGAAGATTGACGAATGGAGAATTTTGGAAGAAATGACTACAGCACGAGAAGGTGCAGGTCTTGTCGTTGTAGATGATACACTTTATTGTTTAGGAGGTTATGATGGATTTCACTTATTGAACAGTATGGAAGCGTAAGTCAAAATATAGTCGAAGTAGTAGTTTTCATATAAATTTTATTTTTTCTAATCTTAATTGCCTCATACCTAAACAACGGGGTTATTCATTATTATAGAAAGGTAATTGTTTGGCTTGTATTTCAAGAATAAACCTAGACTCGTTTCTCAATCATATGCTCTTAACTGTTTGGAACTAGAATGTTGCTACATACATACATGATTGCTTAAAAGCTTTAGAAATCAACCGCAATCTGTTAAACACATTTCTTTTACACTGATCGAATTTCATGTAGAAGTATAATCCTTTGTGTTTCAGTTAGATAACTTGTTGCCCTCCTATATTATATCAACTACTCATTATAAAGTTATGGATTTCTTTTCCATTGAATTGGTGAATCGATCATTGTTAGACCATCATTAGAAACCTGGAAGCACTGGACTTCCATTTCATCTTAGTTTGGAACTCAGCACTCGCCGGAACCGAACCCAGGACCTTCGGTCTCGCACACGAACGCTTAGTTTCTCGACCACTGAGCCGGAATCCAATAGTGTTAATGTCTAACTTTAATCAATCCAACGTATTGAGTAACCTCACTCATTGTTTTCGGCAAGTAACTGCCTACACGCGACAGGGTTCAACTCCACTGCTCACGGCTTCTCATTAGAATTCCATGAATTTCCTCACGAATCTAGTCACTAGTGAGCACATTATTATGATTTTCATTCATAGTATTTCAATTATGCCAGCACCATTACTATACCAAAAAAATATTTTCAGATCTCTTTATGATTTTTCCATTTTCAATATGGAATTGAACTTGTCACTGAATCACATCTTCAAGGACACTACCGTTGAAAGACATCGTCGTATCATGATTGTCGAGTTCTAGCAGGCATCAAAAAATAGTTTACTTTAGACTCATCGTTAGGAAAAGATAATGTTCATTAGGATGACTTTTATAAGACTAAGTTTAGAGAATTTTGAAACAAGGATTTTATGTAGGTTGACATAGATGTAAACTAAAGTGTACCGTTGTTATAATACCAATAATAGTACAAAAGATTTTATATAAAATGATTTCTATGTCCGACTCAAAGTCATCTCATGTAAATGTCACTTGCCCTATATAAGTTGATTCAGACATTGTGTATCATTTTGTTTATTTTATGATTGACAACGATATCCCTGAATGGATTCAACTCGTTCAACCGGATCGTTCACTACCCGAGATATTGTGTAAATAGTTTTCGGCAAAAACGCAGTCAACACCCTAATTATATAACAGAAAAGTGCCCGAAGTGTGCTAAATATAAGCACGAACTGACCAAAGTATATGTCTATATCCCTATTTATTAACCAATCAGAAAAAAATCTAATACATGAATAGTTATAAAACCGAGCATCAAATCCCAAATCATTAGATATTTATTATGTAATGGGATAACCAAATGCTACAATATCATTATTTATGTGTAAAGATAAGATCCGAAAAACAACTTTGAATCTTCAAATAACAGTGTGTGAATACTGTTGAAACGATAACCACCACAGTCTGTGAAACTGGACTTAATGTATCATCAGTCTTGGTTTACTTTCTTTGCTTATCTCATTAATTGGTACTTTTATGTATGCATTATTGTGTTCACTTATTTTATTTGGGTTTTGTAATATTATTCCTCCACTTGGTCATTTTGATTTATTTCTATATGTGATGTTTTTCTGTAAGGCTCTCATTACTGACTGTTTTATAATATTTGCCTTATGTTTCGTGACTGATGAACATCTGAAAATATGTTCATAGTTCTACCTAAGTATACAATTAAAATAAGATATAGTCTTAAGTAAATATACACAGAACCTGTTCGTTATTCAAAAAAGTAGGGTTAACAAGAAACTGCCTATAAGGAATGGTTCAAATAATAACTTTAAGCATAAAAATTATTAGTATCATTTATTATGATAATTACTGCCATTTTTATTAGTTGTTGTTATTCTTGTTATGCTGTTTAGTTGTTAAAATGACCAAGAAACTATTGGTCACTTAATAAGAGTGAATAACATTATTTGTTCAGTTGATCACTGTTCATAGATCTGAATTCCCACCACCCTTTTATTTTTTATTTAAAATACAAAGACTGGTACAAGGGGGCACTCAAATATAGATGCGCCACACATTAAAAATGAAATTGAATACAAATTAATATATACTAATGAAATAGTAGTTAAAATAGTGGCAGAAACTGTTCATAAAAATATAAGCGAAAGATTTTTTCAGTCAAAGAAGTGCTTATTAACTCATAGCCCACCGATCGGGATTCTCCGATCAACTCTGAGTTCCAGATGTTATTCAGTTGTGAAACTGCTGCCCTTGATTTACTAATCCATGTCTTCACATCTACATTAGATCCCCTTTGTTTATCAATGATGCTGCCCAGGTATGTAAACATTCTCAACTCCTCAAGCTTTTTTCCATCACATGTGATCTGTTTGGTTCTCGTCGCGTTGAATGTCTGGATCTTGCTTTTTCCCTTGTGTATATTGAGACCTGTCGCTACACAAATCGTCTTCACCTGTGTTTGTTACATGGTCCTCCTAAACTTTTTATTGATGCAGATGTGATCAGTTTGATTCTCTGTGGCGTGGTCCAGTAAAACACATTCAGCTTTGTTTGTACGTTTGTGCGAAAATATGATGCCACCTATAACCATTTAGTTGAAGGTACATAGATTTGCAAATCTCTTACTGTTTTCGTTCCTTTCTCTGAATTCACACTGTCACACGATATCTTAATATCTGGTGTTGTTCATTCCAACCTTGGCACTTAGATCTCTCATCAGGATGGTTAGGTAATTTCGTGGTCATCTCTCTGAGGTTGACTGCAGCCGCTCATCAAACCAATTTTTATCGTCTTTTTATTTTGTTTTGTGCAATGAGATAATAACGTTGGTTATCAATAAAAGAGAAAATAAGTCATAAAAACGAAAATAATAATTATTGCTATGCGCTCCAAATAAAAACGGACGTTAAAAATTTCATCTTACTACCATTTATGAAGAATAAAACAGAATGCAAGAATAGGTTTAAAACTAACCAGCCGGTGTTTGAGGACGGAATGTTTACTTTGTATGTTTAAAACATGGTCACTAAGAATAAAAGATATGCATTTATTACTAGTATTCGTTCGAAGCATTACTTGTGTTTCCTAGGATCATCGAGTAAGCAGTACTGGATTTAGGAATGAGGTATTAGGTATGGAAGGCAAATTAGTTGGTGAAGTAGAGAATTTCTATGAACGGAGGTGGTTGGGATGTGTTACATGTGCTCGACCACTGTCTATATCGGTGAGTGATATCTGATGTAGAGGTAGGCTGGAAGAAAGCTAGGTGCGACTAAAACATGGCACCAGTTCATGAAGCCATTGAAAATTGGACTTAACTGTGTTGGCAAGTGTAGGCTACGTGGCTGGGGTCAGCGAGACAATCATAAGCGTTGGTTAGTGACTTTGAATGACCTGGATCAAAATCGTTTGTAATGTCGCAGGCGCACCAACTTTCTGTCTTCCCTCAAGTTCTAATCTTTTAAATTCCTCCTAACGTCTTTTGCTTCTTAAATTTATTTAACTGGTTTATACATTCTCGAATTTTTGTCTTCGATCCCTAATCTTTCCTATTACCGCTAATACTGCTACAACCTCTACTACCCTGAGATTTATGCCTGACAATTTCATCTCTGTGTTAATGTGGTGTGGAAACTTGAAATGATGTACGTACATACGAAGTTCTACGTTACAACTAATCGACCGACTGAGAAAAAGTGCTTTAATTATTACTTGTTATTTTGTTAGTCAGGCGTAGAAATATGGGTCATTAAACTACTGGGACTGCCTTTTTTCTGTCATGTCATGATTATGTATGTTACTGCCAAAATGGTCGGATACTGTTTAATTTCTATGCCATTACTTCTTAACATTTATATTATATAAATGTTTGTGTCTTCGTTGATAACTCACTTATTAATGTTTTGCCATTTTCCTTTTTTAGTAAAATATTAAGTCTACGCCTGAGATAACTGATTTTTTAATTGGAAAATGATGATGGAACGTCTTTTACTAATATTCCCAGCTTTGTTGTCTATACTTCATTGATTTATTATTAATTGTTTTCGTTTTAATTAGCTTTGATCTTCATTGTGGAACGTGGTCAGTGTGCAAACCAATGTACATGCGTCGGTCAGGAGCTGGTTGTGCTTTGTTGGGAGATACTATTTATGTATGTGGTGGTTATGGTGGTGCTGAGGGCCGTGGTCCTTCACATTTGGATACTGTAGAAGCTTATAATACATGGTTGGCTCAGTGGACTTTGGTTACAAGTATGAATGTCCCGCGTTGTTACGTTGGTGCTTGCCCGTTGGCCGGCAAGATTTATGTTGCTGCTGGGTAAGCCATTTTGATTTTTTATCATATTCTGGCAGATTTTTCATACTTGCTAAACTTACTGATCTGATAAATATAATCATTAGATTACTTTGTCGTTAGGTCACAGTGTTTGTGAATTCAGATATGCTTCACTCTAATTTTATCAAATTGATTGCTTACGTATTCCGATATACAAATGAATTAGTCATTAGCCTGAAGTAATGTGATATTGCGATTTCTTTTCGTAATTCATAACACAATAGATTTTATTTCACTACACTTTTTTATAAATACTCATCTGTTGATGAAATACAGAATATTGGCAATGAGACAGTATTTTGACCTATTTTTTGGTTGCCGTGATCACTTGATGGAGACTTGGTGGTAACACGGCGATAAGAATAATAATTTTACGTATTCAGAGTCCAACATTTTGTTTGATAGAATTTGTTTTTTCGCTCACAGTATCCCACAATTTACAACACCAACCCATATGTTGTTGTTAAGTTTTATTAGTTTTAATCAGGATAATAATATACTCACTTTCTTAAACTAAATAAAACCTGGACACAACCACTCAATTCTAGGCAAACTCAACCAAATTGTGTGGAAAGGCAAACTGTGTTAGAAACTTCGTTACAAAATTATGTCGACCACAACCCGTCTGCTTTTGTAAACACTAAGAACAAATTCAATATTATTATTATGGCTTATTGATCTTTGACTCATTAAATAATTCATTTTTTTGCCACACTGCGTTACACCCTCCTCGCATTAATCCATCGACTAACCATACAACTCTAGCGGATCACATGATAATTATCAACAACTATCCTTACTTCTGATTTACTTTATTGTGTTTTAATCAAAGCAAATTTGATCCAAATGTAATTTAATATACTTTAGTCGAAAATTTATCTTGTCAATGTGTCCACCAGATTTCTTATGACATATGTGATCTAAATCGAAAGTTGTTTCTTAATTTTGATCTGAAACTCGTAATTTATGCTCAGTCAACGATAACACTGCCTTTTTCGCGTAATTTTAGTATGACTGTTTATAATCATCAACTAGTTAGTTCTCACAAGATAAAGAATTGTTTGTATCTGTATAATCACTTAAATTCTACTTTTTTAATGCAGAAAGATTATAGCATATCACTTCGACGCCTAACTAGCGCTCGTAAAGAGCAGACTCAAGAAAACCAGGGTGTGTCCAGACCTGGACGTGGATGTATAGACCATATATTCACTCTCTGTCAGGTCCTGGAACATAGACGCACACTACGGCCTCCAGCAGCAGTATTATTTCTTGACCTTACTGCAGCATTTGATTCTGTTGATCGTGATGTTCTCTGGCAGTGTCTATCATTGAAAGGTGTACCGAAGATGCGCATTAACCTTATACGAGCCCTCTACTCGAACACTATAGGTCGAGTGAGGGCTTATGGTGAACTATCATCAGAATTCTTTACTTCAAGTGCTGTCCGTCAGGACTGTCCACTTTCTCAGTTCTTGTTTAATTTTATCATAGACATGCTTCTAGATATAACACTATCTTCGTCTGACTTTTTAGGGTTGGACCTTTTACCAGGAGGCTCGCTTGTTGACTTGGAATATGCCGATGACATAGTTCTACTTGGCGAGGACACTGCAAAAATGCATTCTGACCATCTTAAGCAACAATGCAAGCATGTTCGGGATGCGATTCTCCCCCTCGAAATGTAAAATGTTGCTTCGGGGTCGGCTTTTGTAGACCACTGATCTGATGATAGCGAGTGAGGCAGTTGAACGTGTTGACCACTTCAATTATCTCGGGAGTCTCATCAGTGCTGATGGCCCGGTGTGTGATGAAATCTCAGCACTGATGTAGAAGGCTTGATTAGCTTTTGCCAAGTTGCGTCATTTGTGGCGTAGGCGAGATGTTCGTTTGCTAACCAAAGGATGAGTCTACTCCTCAGCAGTTCTCTTCGTCCTACTTTATGGCTGTGAAACATGACCAGTCAGAGTAGAAGATATTCCTAGGTTACTGGTTTTCGATTATAGGTGTCTTCAAAGCATTGCTCGTATACCCTGAGACTATCGAGTAAGCAATGCAATTGTGAGGAAACGAGTACTACGTAGGGATGGCAAATTAATAGATGAAGTATTAAAACTTCATCAGTTGTGCTGGTTGGGACATGTGTTATATATGTCGAACCACCGACTGTCTAGACGTGCGAAGTTGTCTGATGTAGTAGTAGGTTGGAAGAAAGTGAGGGGCGGCCAAACCAAAACATGGTACAAATCCATGAAGTCATCGACATGTGGGCTGAATTGCGTTGGTAGGTGTAGACTAACTGGTTGTGGCCTGTGAGATAAAAGTATCCGACGGTTAGAGACCTTGAATGATAAGGCTCAAAATCGTTTGCACTGGCTCATGTGCATCCATTGTGAGTGTTCTCTCGAATTCTTGTCTAAACTCGTCATGACCGTCACCTTTGTCTCCTCAGATCTATTTCAATGGATTATACTTCGTAAATAACATCTTCAAACGCTAATCTTTCTGATTGCTGCTCATAATTCTACTATCTTTACCAGTATGGGATTTGAGTCGACAATCGCATCTTTGTACTACCGTGATATGGCACCTTGAATATATCTTCGTACGTACGCAGTTATACATTGTAGCTGACTTTCTTTCCAACTATAAAGGTCCAAACTTCTTGTTTCACGTCTCAGTGGGTGTTTTCCGTTTTACTCATTTTTTATCACACCTTTATATTCTATAGTGAAGTGTATGCTATATCATTCGTAAAGTGCTTTTTAATATCCTTATTTATTTTATTTTTATATGTAGATATAATGGTAATAGTTTGCTGGATACTGTAGAGTCGTATGATCCAATCGAAAATACGTGGTGGTTGCATGAAGAAAGCAGAATGAATCATGAGCGATGTGACACTGGTATGTGTGTTGTTCGGTTCCCAACATGCTCTGTCAGCCAAGAAACTCTTACACCAGCAATAACATCATCAAGAAATGTAATGAACTGCAGTAGTAGTCATTCATCTCCATCAGCTATTTCATCTGCTTCTGCTAATTTTCATTCAATAATCAGCCAGTCACCCACTTCTTGGCAGCTAAATGATTCGAACACTAATCGAATTAGTAGTGTACGTACGAACACACAGACTTCAACTGGCCACCCCAATCCATTATTGTTTCAAGGTAGTCCGTCATCATCTACTCGAAATGTTTTATCTTCGTCAGTTAGCGAGCCGTCTCGCACTGTTTCACAATTCGGTGGTCCTTCTGCAAGTTTGAACATATGTAGTGTTAATTCTCAACCTCCTGGAAATTCCCACCTGCCTTCCACCAGTCGCAGACCTAATCGTCAAGTTCGTAGTCATTCACGACAGAATAATTTGTCAAATACTTCTGTTAATGGAAGAGAATTAAGAAACTCTAGACCACCTAGGCATTTACTATCGTTGACGTCATCTAGTTTGTACCCAGGCAATATTAATATTTGGAATCCCAAAAGTACGCGTTTACCTTATGTTGCACAAGGAATGCATAACCCTAGAAATTATAGGTCACTTGTTCCATCCTTGTCGTGCAACCAACATAATGTTTTGCACTGTAACACTGCACCCATTTCTCACCTAACTCAACGGGTTGCGAATCCATTATTCAATCATAACGACACACTCTGTCATACTTTAGATAATTTACCACCTTCTTCTGAAGAATCTCATGTAATCCGGAATAATGAATCTACTGTCAACTCTGAATTCAGTATGATGGAACAAACCGACCAACCACTAGACAACTGTGGAAATGTCGACATAAATGAGTTAACCTCCAATCTTAATGCATCTCATTTCGATGCACCAACTGTTTCTGGGTCTCAGTTATCAGGATCTCAGAGGAGCAGCTGCAGTAGTCCTACTTTGGTATCTGATATGCATCGTTCGGCTCCTGAATGTGGCTCTTCTTCATCATGTAAACACGAATTATTTAGATCTGTTGATGCAATTAACCGTCTTGGTTCAGATAATGTTTTCTGGTCAGTATCCAATATATCGACATTTCCTGCCATCGAAAACCCTACTGCCAGTGCTTTTTCACAGGCTATTGCTTTTAATGAGAACTCATTTATTAATAATCCAGTTATTGAAACACAAGCTGATAATAATTTCGGGAAAGTTAATTTGGAAAATATTCCTAATCGTAACTGTGTTAGTGTGATGGGTGAATCACTTGATGATCAAGATCGTGAGCTTGGTGATTTCGTTAAGTGTACCGATCGCTCCGGTTACAAACCACGTACTTTCATGAACACTTTGATATATAAGCCGAAGGAGCCTCAGCCAAATCCATGTGTTTTATCTTCAAATGATTCTTGTGGCTTACCTTGTGAACAGCCATGTGATATCACTTTATCATCCAGCTATTCATGTAATTCTTCAGCTCCCATACCAATTGCTAAAGTTAAACCGTGTTCTTCAACAGCTGCGGAAAACTCATGTACAACAACTTTAAATGCACTGCTTCCTTCTGTAAGAAATGGATCTTCTATTCAACATGTAAATGATCCACCAACCTACTGTAACAAGCAAACATTTGACCAAATTTGTCAGCGGTATAGGCCTGTAGTGCCACATTCGTTTAAAACTGATCCAATGTGGCCTTTTAGATATGATACTGAATCTTTCCAAACGCAAGGAGATAGAATAATTACTTCAGCGAGTGATCAGAAGGTTCTATCTTCATTGTGTGAGATTAATGACCAGGTAAATTTTTTATTATTTCGAGTTCTTAGTAAACCATGAAAATGAAATATATTATCATTGATTTAGCAATTTTGTTCACATGGTTACTATTTTAAATCGTCTTTAGTTACACTTCTAACCATCCCATTTAAATTCATCAGAACTCTAGAACTCGTAAAATAAGGTAATAGCGTTTATTTTCGATGTTTTTGTATTCGTGAGCTTGTTAAAACACAGACACTACAAGTTCAACACAGAATAATATAATTATGATGAAGGTTTTGCTTTCTCTGACGTATCTTTTTAACAATCCACTTAGGTTCCTGATAGAGATTTTACCTTTTCGGATAAGTCAACATCTGGAAGTATGTTACCAGCGTAACTCCCCTTTAGTGTTAATCAATCGTATGCAACGCAAAACACGATACATCTTTTCATTGGTTCAAGTTACCACATCACATTAGTACAGCGAGATGGAATTATCAAAGGGAATTTTCATCTAGTACGCTATACTCAACCTCAGCATCATTCGTTGGGCAGTTATAACATGTGTTTTGACTGAAACTAAGCAACACGTTCGAATGTTAATCTTCGACTATAATTAGCTGTCGTTCCATAACCTTGAGAATGATGCTAACAAGATTTGTGATACAGAGAAACAAATTAGTATGCTCTACATATATCTTAATGAGTTGCACGTGCAGCGCAATGAAATAAGTCATCCTACTTTATATCTATGAAACCTTAAATCTTGGAATGTTATTTAAAAGGGGTAATGTAGTTTAATAGTGGGGTACATGCTTATATATTTTATATCATTCTTTAGTGAAGCTAGTTGAGCAGTGTTTAAACTTGAAACTAATGAGTTGGTAGCTAAGTACGTCAATTGTTTAGTTACATGTTAAGATCGTTTAACAAGTTGAGTCTTTTGTGCATCACTAACAAACATCGATAGAAATGACAGGTACTCAAAATTTCCTAATATTTATTTCCAAATATCTCAAAGAGAAAATTAAATTCCAAACTGAAACGTTTCGTCATGCTTTCATCAAACATTATTCCTTGTTTTCATTACTTGTCTTTAAGAGCGAACTTACTCCAGGAGAAACCCCTCTGGTTTTTGGTGTCAGCGAATCCCCTCACATTTATTCTGACTCAGATGACCTACCAATCAAAAACCAGTTGGAAGGTTCTAATCAAACTGGTGTTTCTGTAAAACCAGATGTTACACATACGTCAGTCATTGAATCCATACACTTAACAGATGCTCCTGGACGTAGTTCATCAAATTCTGATGATACACTTATAGACCAGTCAAATAATTTGATAGATAGTCCGTCTAATTGTGAACCCGATATTACATTATGTACAGTGGTTTGCAATCCATGTAATGGGGATGACAGTCCACAAGCACAACCGGATACAAGGTCAGATGGTGAAGGCGAAGAGGGAGACGACCTAGATGTTATCTTGAGGAATCCAGCAGTTGGTCGGGTTGACGATGAATTGTGATCTCCTGCTAAACTTTTATATCTTTTGTGAATTATATTTATCTCTGTTAATTTTTGTGCATGGTGTCTATTGTATTTATCACTATATAATCTATTTAGTCTTTGTGTTAATTTGATCGACTAATTCTGTAAACGTTTTCAGCTTTCACTTACGTATAGTTTCTTTTATTTATTTTGTTCTATTTCTTCATCTGAATATCTATATAATTTTGATGTGTATTTTTTAGTACGGTTTGTTTCTAAATTTTACTTCTTCACATTTGTATATTTTTAGTCATAACAAGGGGCTACTTTCATTTGCTTATAATTTTGCTTATGAATGTTATGACCATGAGCGTCTTATACACTGATTTGTTTGTGAGTACCTGTAGTCACGAGACATCTTCTTTGTTCATGATATAACTGCAGAAACGTTGATGCTGGTGAAATTTACACACATGTCTGCTTTCAGAACATAATCTCCAGTCTCCCACCGCAATATAGTAATAAAAATCCGAAGTAGTCATCATGATGAAGCCTCATAACAAATGTCAATACTTCATTGTTACACATATAACTGATCTCTCACCGACTGAAAACACCACGTCTCATCTGATTTATGTTCTTGTAGTGCCATGTTATAACCTAAACTTAGGAGTCACGAAGAGATGTAACTGCTACCCGTTAATCTATTAAGTACTTCTCACCAATGAAAGTTATAGTTCTGTTTAAGCAGACAGGACATTCCGGACAACGGCGAAGGCACAATAAGCCGTTTCTCTCTCTTGGGAATAATTGTCAGTCCTTCACTCCTACATAATATCCCGAAAGTTTTAAAAATGCTAGATTTATGGACATGATTAGTATGCTACAACAGGACGAGTTTTACCACAGTAGCCTTATAATAGTAATTTGGCTGATGTTTAGATTCCGAAGCAATATGTCGGGGTGACTGACTGTGAAGCTGGACCATGTAGTGATGCTAAACAAAACTTAGCTCAATAATGACACTGGTCAACCTATTTGTCTTACCTGTGATATGAAAGGTTGCATTCCGGGGAGTAATAAGCGAAGGAAGAAAGGCGAGAAGCAGAAACAAGGACTCGAAATTTTTGGGTGTACACCTTTGCTTTGGGATGCTTGGTGAAATTGTAGGTTGACTTATTCAGCAACCTGAATATATTATGGAACAAATTAAAAAATTCCGGAGTGAGAATTTTGAATACTACCTAAGGATTATGCAGGGTACCTCGGTTATATGTAATCACTTGTTTCAGATGTTAATGTATCACAATAATCATCTCAGTGAAATGTCATGAACCTGGCATGTCATAAGAATCATATTACTAGTAATAATCGAACTGAACAACCGATCACAGTGAGTCTGCTGGCGTTTACGACGATTAGATCTTGCCTGTAGACCATAAAGCCTCAAATGAGACATTATTATTTGAGGACACATTATTATTACTAATCGACTGGGACGGGTTGGCATCAAACATTTGAAACTATCGTATGTTTGGACCGTCTAGTTATCTAGCTTTTTTGACCAATCGTAACGTTTCTCAAGTGTGTGAATGAGGACCCTTCGTATTATATCTATTCTATATGCCATTGGGTCTTTGTTTCATTGAAATAACAAATTTAATCTATTCATTCCTACGTATCGTATTTATTTGTTTTCGGAAACGTGATCGTTGCCATTCATCTTTATTTGTTCCATATGTTTTATATGGTATTTCTTCGACATTTGATTTGAATGGTTTGGCTTCAGTTTCGCCTCGGCTCCATTTTTCTAACTTGATCTGACTGGTTTGTTATATTATGTGGTACAACCACATTCAGTGTACTTGAAGAACTAACCTTTTCCTGTTAATAAGTAATTGGTTGCGTTCTTTAATGATTTGTCTACTTGATATGTATGAGTTTAAGGTATACCAAGTCTTTGGGTTATAACTGAGCTCTGTAATTCATAATAAATACTGTTTGGAATGTGGGGGAATACAAACTTTCTCTGAAACCTGTTTTAAGACTTACAAACAGTGTAAAGCACAGCTCTTTTTATCGGATTTCCTCAGATTTTATATTAAAAGTGACGCGATGTACAAGTTGTAATTCAGAATTCTCTTGGTCTAGACATGGCAACCTAAAGTGGAAAATCATACTTCATTTCCTATGCGTAAGTTGTGAATATTATTTCTTAAAGCCAGCCTGGGATTCAATATCCAATACCTTTTTCACGAGCCAGTGTAAACCAATTTGATTTCTTCGCGCTCGATTCTTGTTCTTTCGGTACGGTTCCAGGTTTTCGGTAATGTCCAATGGATGGAGGTCTAGCCACGCGACTGACTAATTCCAGGCAGTTGGTTATGAGCTTTTGTTTCAGGACAGTAGGGTTTCCGGATGCCAGCAGCCGTCACATTACCAGACCGGAGATCAGTTAGTTGCAATGTGGAGAGTAATAAGGATAAAATTCTAATGATAATATGAATAGAATTTCAGGACTGAGTAATATATAGATGAATTTAGTTTGTTGATTGATAGTGAAGATTGTGAGAGAGGACTGTGGTGTAATCAAGGGAAAGGAAAATAGGCGAGATAGGTTAAGTGATCTGAGGAGATGGCAATGGTAACAACTAGCAGGTCTCTAGATATGCATCATAAACAGCTTGTCCAAGAGGGAGATGATAGTCCCGTATGTGAGTACGTGATTATCAAGTCTCTTCCTAAAGAAGTCCACTGAGGGGGCTGTGGTCACCTCGGCTGGGAGCGCATTCCAAGTTGCGACGATACGCAGTGAGAAAAAGTGTGCACGAATCTGAGTATTCACTCTTTGATGTGCAATCTTTCGAGGGGAGTGGTGGTGATGCATCGGCAAGATGCTCACGTTGGGATGGTTTGGTGTGTTTAATATGGCGTACGTCATAATAAGATCGCCTCTGATTCTCCTGTAGCTCAGTGGAAATAATCCCAAGAGCTGGAGTCTATCGTCATAGGGTTTATTTTTCAATCCTATCACCCATTTGGCGAATTTTGTCACAACCTGGTGACTTAACTGGGCGTAAGGAATTTAGTTTCCTTAGTACTAGGTCAGGAGCGATACGGATGTTCCCTAAGCCGTCAGCTGGCAATGGGTTAGCGTAGTTCTCTGAACATGTGGGCGCCTGGTTTAACTGATCAGAAAAGTTGGTATTGAAGATCTAGGCCATCTCTAGGATGGTGAGGTCTTCCCCGTTTGGTCCTTTGAGAGAACACAACCCTTGATTCGTAGGTTTTCTTTTGAACATGACCCTTAAAAGATGCTTCCGGTTCGCCTCTATTTTGGCAGCTAGCTTCGTCTGGAATTATCTCCTGTCGCTTCGAACTTTGGTATTGCATCTGTTTCTCAATGCCAAGTGAGAACTGCAATCGGAATCCTTCAAGAAGACCTTCCACCTGTGCCAGGCTCTCCGCTTCGGCTGTACCAAGCGTTCGGTGCCGCGCCTAACCCAGGTTCTTCTATCCCGGGTGTGTGGTGTGACTGAGGTACATTGTCTACGACAGCGTTTCGGATTATATCTCTCACTGTTTGCCAGTGATCATCTACTGTCAGCCTCCACCACTCCCGTGGCCATGAGGTATGTAGGAGGACCTCTCTCATCCGTGTATAGTTTGCCCTAGTGTAGCAAAAATGGGGCACGTTATCTTTGTGTGTGTGTGTTTCGTTTATGTCCATGTGACATGGTCACTACTACCTGTCGGTGTATGCACGTGAACATCCTCAACCAGGGGCTGGTCATTTGTTAACAGATAATCCAGGTTTGAGGACTTTCCTTCCTTATCGCATCTAGTGGCATTGCATACGTGCTCAGTCAGCCTCGATCTTCTAATGGCTGTACCCAGTTGTCTTTGGAACCATCCAGTGGGATTTATACTCTGATTTCTGAGATTTAAAGATGGGGTATTGAACTCTCCAGCTACGAGTATTTGTTGAAATCCCGAGAGTGGCAGTTGCAGTATTACCTCAATCAGTTTGCTTTTCTGGGCCTATGTATCCGAAGGAGGTCGGTAAATCCCTCCAATCAAGTATTTCGTGCCATTTGTATGGAACAAAACACCAACATGATTCTGTCACCTCAGTTAGTTGGGTGTAGTATAGCCGCTCTGCTTTTAAGTGGCTATTTATATATATAGCCACTCCACCTCCAGTTTAGTGTTCCTTATCGCTTCGGAAGAGTGTCATGCCTGGCAAGCTCAGTTTTCCGTCTGCAATGTCAGGGGATAGCCATGTTTCAGTTAGGATTATGATAATAATAATAATAATAATAATAATCTTCAGACCCATCTGAGAGCACATATTCCTGATTTCTAACAGCTTACCACTTAGTCCTCTTACGTTGCTATAGAGGCACTTGGTGGTTTGTCTCAGTGATTGGTGCACTTCTGCAGCAGCAGCCGTTGTCGGATTTTCAGACAAGTTATTTAAACCGAATTGACCAGTTCTGTGTGAACTGGCCTCTTCAGGTTTTTTGCCTGCGTGGTTGGTTTAATCATGTCTTGTTCCAGGGGCAGTTGACCGAGGTTAACTATCAGTTTCATGCGTTCATTTTGGCCTCCCTGTTGTTGTCTCACAGATCTAGGTCGGCTATCGTAACACCTGATGTGGCTAGACAGATCGTTCCTCGAACTGTACCAAGCTTGTAGCGTTTTAGTCAGGTCTTCCCGATTCCTAAATGTCACAGCCATCAGGCGTGGTGCATTGATGAAAGTAAGGTGTGACGGGCGGGGCAACCTAGAAATGCAAACAGCCATCGTGGTGTGGAGGGATAGGCTACGTGATAGCCATCACCACTGTTGCACGACTTGCTCGTGAGCTCCGTCCTCGTTACCGCCGGCGAGTTCGGGTATACCGTGAACTATCATGGTGGTCTGTTCTTGGGTGCCTGGCGCAGTTCTGGCTGCCGCACGTACCAACCACGGCTTGTCATGCCTGATGCGAATCGGTGAGGGCAATTCGACCGATGGTCGTGGGATGAAAAGTTTATGTCTTCAGCAAGTCGTGCCGAGTCAAGAGTTACCCCCAATGGAGGGGGTTTTCCTTTCGAGACATTTTGGCTTCTGAAAAGGCGGCATATTTTGGCTGGGACGTCGCTCATTCCAAGAGTTGAGCAGTGTTTATCCCACTGCTCTTTGTCGAAAACAGCCCTACCTCCTAGCAAGCTTCCGATACTGGGATATTAAATAATATAAGTGAGTTTGATTTGTCTTCCCTGTTCTTGGGTGGTAGCCGGTTGTGAGTTGGTGTGTTGCTACTTCCCTTCTTCATGTTCACCCACTGTTTTGTATTGGACTTTAGGGCTGATTTTTGGTGGGACCTGTGGCTTTGTCAGTGCCTGAGATACTCTACGCTGAGGGCAAATGTACTAAAACCATGGGCAGGGTTGACTCAGCATGAGTCCGTAGTACTCTTCAGGTACTGTAGTGTTGCAGCAACAACGTACCTATGTATTACAGAAATTGCATTCGAAAGCGCGGTAGCTGATTTTGACTAGTAATGA